TCCTTCCTGCCACTTGAGGGTCTTGGTTGAGATGGTTCCAGTTAAAGATGATTCCATCCTGTTTGATGCCAAAGGGAGTCTGGCAGGTAGATATTACTTCACTACAATGTCTGCTCCATGGGGACTGGCTTTTATTTTTTTTTTGGTGCCTCTTTTGTCTTTTGCTATGTCTGGTCTGTGCCTAGTTCAGGGTAGTTTCTCAATCCATGCATGTTGATGACTGAATGCAACCCAGAAAATATGCACCTTAACTTTTAAAAGACCTCCTCTGGGTCAGCAAGAGTCCTGTGGAGGCGGGTCATCTGCCTTCTCCTTGGCTCTCCCCATCCTGTTCTCTCATGTTTCCTGATGGACTCTGATTCAGGCATGGATTTCTCTAGAATAAGCCACTTTCCAGTTCAACACTTGTGATTCTGGACGTTCCCATGATTTCAGTCTCACAACCTGCACTGATCCCTACAACTCTGAGTCTGAATTCCTGTTTTCAGTTGTATTGCCTGCAGTAGTTTTCTGTGGCGAATGTAACAAACTACCACAGATGTAGTGGCTTAACCCAACACAAATGTATTATCTGGAGGTCAGAAATCTGCAATGAGTATTAAAGGATTAAAATGAAAGTGTCACTAGAGCTGTCTGTCTTCCTTTCTGGAGTCTGTAGGGGCCAAACTATTCCTCATCTCCCCAGGTTTTTAGAGGCGGCCAGCATTCCTTGACCTGTGCCTGTATCACTCCACTTTCTGCTTCCATAATCCCATGGTCTGCTTCCATCACCACTGACTTTGATCTTCTTGCACCCCTCTGACTAGGAACCTAATATGGGGCCCAGCTGGATAACTCAGGACAATTTACATACCTCAACATCCTTAAATTTACCACATCTGTAAAGTCCCTTGTATGAGATAACATATTCATAGGTTTAGAGACCAGGATGTGGACATCTTTTGGCGGGGGCATGATTCTGTCTACTGCACAGTTCCAACCCATGGCTGGCACAAAGGATTTCCTGAGTTGTCTAAACAATGTGGCAGGTGTGGCATGACCATGATGAGGGCTTCTTTTTGGGTCTGCTCCCCATGAGCTCTGGTCTGTCTGTAGAGCCCACAAAGATGGAAGAGATCTTGGGTCAATGCTGTTGGGTGTGACTGGAAAGATTCTTTCTGATGTGCCCACTGGAAACCACACTGTCATTTGCTGGATGTTGTGGTTCTAGGATATTGCTCCACTAATCTGATCATAGGCCTTGGAGTCCCAAAGAGCTAAAAAAGAAAATCTCTAAGGTTGAATACGTAGTTGCCTTCAGAGTCTTTATCTTTAGCTCCCACTGCTTGTAATTATCTTTGAACTGAAGCCACTGTGGAGAAGGGAAAATATCTGGGGTTGGGGATAGCTGACTGAATGATGCAGTATAGGATTCCGAGCAGAGGCAGGCAGATTTGGCCAGCAGTGCAAGAAAATAAGTCACTAGAGATGTTTCCTCCTCTCCTCAACCTTATTTTGCTGCAACGTATAGGTAGTCCTGCCACAACCCTCCACACAAGCCCTTATGGTTGGCCCGTGGTCAAACCAGAGGATGTGGCATTCACTGGTCCTCTGATGATGCTCAGGACCTATGACAGACCCATCTGTGTTGCTGGGCTGGCCAGGAAGCTGTAGCTGTCCTGGCATGGGCATGCTGGCAGACAAATGCTGATGCCGCTTCAAAGAACCGCCCTTCCAGGTGCTGAGGGCAGCTTTTCTGCTGCTCACGCTGTGTATTTTCGCAAGGCACCCAGCTGTTGCAGTGATGATATTTATATCAATAAGTGTTCTATTCATCTGTCGATTTTAGGGGATGCTTGCCAGCTGCATATGGCAGCCAACCTCATGGCCCTTCTAAGCCTGATGTTTTTGCAGTTAAAGAATCAATTCTTAAAGGCTGTATCAACATCTGGGGCTGAGAAATCTTCATTCACCCAAGACACACCCTGGAAGGGGCAGTTATAGTTAATGACCTAGACCCCTGCTTCTCTACATGTCCCAAAGTGAGATTCTTTCACACTCCTCCTCCATGCCCAAGCTCTGGTTTTGCAAAAAGGGCTTCTGGAAAAGGGGGAACAGCAAACCGGCTTTCACAGGCTCTACTTCATTCATGGACTCAGTGAGCAGAGTTCACCATTTTAATTTCTCAGGCAAAGGAATAGGGTGGTGATGCCTTCTGAGTCTGGAACTCCACAGAAGTCTTTGTTTTATGGGAATCCATTTAATTTCATGGTTATCTTGGATTCCAGCCATATCTACTGATTGAGCCCCTTGGGGACTCACACACCATATTCAGTCTGTCAGGATATTTTGTTGGGTCTCCCTTCAGGAGATATCCAGAATCTACTCCACGGCTACCACTTAGGTTCAAGCTGCCATCACATCCCTTAGCAAATACACTCTCCTTCCCAGACCATTAGTGTGTTCTCAACACAGTAGCTAGAGGGATGTTTTGTTTGTTTTGTTTTTGTTTTTGTTTTTAAAAGGTCAAAGTATGTCACTCCTCTCCTCAAAACCTGTCAGTGGCTCCCTTCTTCTCTCAGAGTAAAACTCGAGTTCTTCCTAGGACCCCTAAGGGCCTCCATGACCTGGCCCTGCCATGTGTCTGTGTCACCTGCTGCTGCTGTCTCCATGTTCACTCTGTTCCAGTCACAATGGCCTCTGTGCTGTTCCTCAAATGTGCCAGGCATGTGCGCACCATAAGGTGTTGGTGTGGGTTGTCCTTTCTCCCTGCAATGCTCTTCCCAGATGATGGTCACACGGCTCATTCTCTCCACCTCCTTAAAAAATACGCTTATATGTGACCTTCTCAATACAGCTTGCCTTGATCACTCTATCAATAGAGTGCCCCACACCTGCCTTCCAGTCTTCCTCTTAATTTTTTCCAAACACTCATCACCTTCTAACATATAATTGAGTACATTATAGGGACTTGGTTACATATTGTCTCCTTCACTTTAGAAGTTGCACCAGAGATGGGAATTTGTTGTTTTGCTTTCTGTGTCTTGTTCACGATGCATTCTAAGCACCTAGAACAGCTTCTGGAAGACAGCAGATACTCCACAAATATAGGTGAATGATGAGCAAATCTCTCGTGAACGTATTATGTGCACATCCCACCAGGCGCTCAATTTCATCCTGATGATCTGCTCCTCTCCCCGCCTCCCCCTGTCTTCCCTCATCTTGGTCGGTGTGACCCCAGACGTCTAACTGCCTAGACTTGAGCTCCTGCCACCATCCACAACGTCTCCTTCTCATTCACCTCCCACATCCAACTGCTCCCCAAACCTGTAGATTTCCATCTGGGAACCAACTTTCACATCCAAGCCCGCCTCCTGATCACTACCTTTCTTTTCTGTACATCTGCAGAATCCGCCTCCCAGTCTCCTGGCTTCCAGGTTTCCCTCTAACTTTTCTCCTCACTGGTCCCCAGACTCAACTTTCTAACAGGAACCAGCCACACCATGGCTTAAAATCTGCAGAATCCCTCCTCCCTGGATAGCAAATATTGTCTAACGGTGCTCCTTGGAAACCCGAGGCTTCACAAAAGCACCCAGAGTCCTGACTCTCCAAGAGACACTGGGGGGACCAGAAGACCAGTCTGGGTGGAGCTCAACTCCCACCCCAGGTGGTTTCACCACGAACATCTCTTGATCACACATGCTTGAGCAATACAGCGCTTACACAAAAGCTTTTATTCGAAGAGAGGGTTCTGTTGCTTACAAAGTAAGGGTCTGACACTATGCTGCAGGCCAAGGCTGAGATCTGAAGCCCACATGGGCAGCCCTCTGCAAGCAGGACGCTGCTACATTTTGCAGCTTCACCACCCTCTTCTGCTCCCGATAGACCCTGAGCCCCAGCTCCACTGCAACCCCAGCTGTTCTAAAGAGAAGCCACACATATTCACACTGCCTTGCCTTTGCCCCACTGTTCCCTCTGCTCCGAGTGCCTTTTCCCAGCTCACTCAGCCCCACACACCCAAACTTCTGCTGCCTTCTTCAAGGCCAAAGTCACCTTCTTTTTGAAGTCTTCCCTCACCCTCTGGGCAGAATTAATTGCTCCCTGTTCCCGGCCAGCACAGCACTTTGCGTCTGACCTCTATTATAGCGCTGCCACACGAGGTTGGGACAATTTGCTCATCCGTCTCTGTAGCAAGACTGTGAGCTCCTGCAGGGCTGAGACCACAGCTCAGATCCATTTTATTTTATTCCCACACAAGGCCAGCACGCACACAGGAGTGCACTGAGTTTCTCTGAGTTTCTTTCAAGACAGTGAAAGGATCACTTTTCAAAAACCTGAAAGGACATTCTCACTTTTCCCACCCAGGAACGGCTCCCCTGCTATGGGGACCTGGGCTCCAGAAGCTGTCCCATAACAGGTGCTTTAGCACTCTTGGAGTCATCAGACCCCAGGGGGCTAAAGCATGAAGCCTGCCTGGACACCGGGGTCACCTGGGATGAAGCCGGGATCGTCGGGGTGGCTAGTGGGCAGAGGGTCTACAGTTCAAGCTCCAGGCTCTGTCAGTGCTGGGTGCATCTCCCAGGGGGCAGACTGGGTGGGTGGGTGTGGCAAGGCATCAGAATATTCTGCAGGGCTGGAGACGCTCAGCGGTGGGGAGGCTCTGTGAGCCTCTCAGCTCAGTGTGCTCGGTGTGATTTGGAGCAAGGCCCTAATCAGTGTGGTGGATGGAGCAGAATCTGGCTCTGGATGGGGAGGGAGGGCTGGACAAAGCCTACAAGCAGGGGGGAGTCACTGTTGGGAATGAGAGGGCTCAGGGGTGGCAGGGCCCAGGAAGAGACCTCCAGCCTCCACTGGCAGCAGAATGGGCCGGATCGGTGCTCGAAGCCAGACAGTGGCCATCGGCAGGCAGCTCGGCCGGGCAGAGGAAACACCATGCTGGCTCTCAGGCTCTCCCTCCAGCTCTTGGGCATGGCTTCCCAAATGCACCTGAGCACCTCGGGCAGTGGCTGGGCCCCTCCTACCTGGGCAGTGTCCATCTCATTCAGCATCACCACGGAGGAGCAGTTATAATCGAACACCAGCCTCCAGAAGTCTGCCACGGTGTTGGGTAGAGGGTGTTGGGTGACCACGAAGGCGGCGGGCTGCTTGTGGCTCTGACAAAGGAACGACATAGGCTTCGTAAAATACACATCCATCAGTGATGCTCTGATGGTGATGAGGCTTGGACGGCTGCCAGAGGCCCCCGAACCTGCCAAACAGATTGCACAAAACACCTACCTGTTCTGTTATCTCTGGGTGCCCAGGTGACAAAGGGGGCCTCCTCATAATGAACTCATTCTCCTCTAAACTAAGACATTTCATTAGGAAAGTGTCACTCGGCTGGGGATTATTCAAATAAATTATTTATGTTTTGGAGCTCAGCAAATAATCATCATTACAATATGAAATGAAAGATTCTGGCTGCAGATTTGCTGCTCTGCTGGCCAAAGCACCTCTTGGGACATTAGGGATATCTGTGGTCCTGTGCCCACAATGCTGGAGGAGGGGCTGGCTCAGCCCAAGGCAGAGAGCCTCCTGAAGGGGCTTCTATTGTAGGAGGCTCACTCCTGCCCCAAGGCCTGGCAGAAGATGGACACTGTGTGCTGTGAGACAATGGGCAGTGGAAGGTGCTCAGGTTTTAGGGTCAGGAAGGCCAGGGGTTCAAATCCACCATTCTTACTTGTAGGTTATTAGTCATGTATCAATCTGTCCATCTGCTCATCCCTCCCTCCCTCCCTCCCTCCCTTCCTTCCTTCCTTCCTTCCATCCATCCATCCATCCAGGCATCATTTGTAGAGTGCCTTTTTTTTCTTTTTGGTGGTAAGCCCTGGCCAGTTATTAGATCTTTCCAAAGTCACGTTCTTCATCGGAGAGAGGAGAATCACAACTCCGAAGGGATACTGTCATATGGATTGAATGAGATTTGCATTTGAAAATACCAGCACCCAAGAAAAGACTGTGAGCCCACTGGCAGGGCAGAAACACAACTTGGTTCTTCATCCTTGGCCCTAATACTGTGGCTGGCACATGAGACACCCAGTACAGGTCCAGCAAACAAATGCATACACTCAGTCCCATGTTACAGATGGGGAAACTGAGGCCCCCAGAAATTAGCTTGTGATAGTCTGGGCTACATTGGAAGCTCTGACTGGGCCTCATTTATTACAGTATCTCGTGAGGGGTTTGGAAAGATTGAAGAGCTTCTCCTTTAGTGGTCTGTGAAACTGGAGATTACCCATAGCCTATGTTCTTAATAAGCTTTCTTGAGAGACAGGCCTTGTGACAGACACAGCTGTTTTCAGTAGAGTGTCCAGTCAGCAGGAAATGGGGGGGATAGAGGGGCTTGCCTGTCCAAACCAGGAGAACACCCAGGCAAAAGACCCTGCCAACCATATTACATAAAGCACCTGTCCATTCTGTTATCTCTTGATGCCCTGGACAAAAAAATGCCTAGCAACTGTGGATGTCACATAGGCACGAGGGTCCTGTCTTCCAAGGACCTTCTCCTGGTCAGTGGGATGGTCAAAGGGGGGAGTCTGGGAGGGCAGAATATTTTATTTCCCCAAAAGCGAAACTCTAGTTGCAGAGAGCAGGTCTTTGAGCCATTTCTAGACACAGAAAAGATCCTAGGTTTTAAAAGTCAAAAAACAGGATCCAGACCCTGGACTCCACCCTTCTGAGCTAGTTGACCTGGAGACAGTCATGCAAATACTCTGAGCCTCAGTATTTCATCTGGAAAATGGGGACAATAACACCCAAACACAGAATGAGTCAGGGTAAGTCCAGGGCCCGACATGGTACCTGCCCAACACTCAGTGAATGTTAGTTCTCTTTCCTTTTTCCCTGTCTCTGTGATAAATGCTCTATTAGGCCAGCATGCCTGACAAAGCCTTATCTGAAAATATGTTCAAGATCCACGCTCCTGCTGGGTTTCAGGGATCAGCCGGCAATCCATTTCATGGATAACATCATCCTTTACCAGGGGAAACATTAAAAATTAACCCAGAGGACTTCATATTTTTCTGCTAGGAGCAAAGCTGCTATGGTTACCAGATAATGCACAGACTGAACTGGAATACAGATAAGGACTTTTTTTTTTTTTTTAAAGAAAGGCAAAGGCCCAGTGATGGCTCACAGGAGAAATGCCCTGTGGACAAAGAGAACATAATCAGCATCAGAGCTTGGCAGAAGACATTTGGCTCCAGGCAGCATCTAACCTACTAAGTAGAGGCCAGAAACATGTTTGATCCTTGCATAGATGAGGAAGCCAGCGGGGAGGGAGTTGGGACAAATGGGAGAAAAGCAATGGGGAACCTGGAAGTGTGAGTATACCCGCAGGCCCCTTCTCTTGCCACATGCGTGCACACACATGCATGCACACATACACATACGTGCACACATTGACCTTAGAGAGCTCTAAGGTAAAGGCCAGAGGTACTCCCTCCATCTCCAGCTATTTGATCTGACCAGGACAATGCTCCCTGCATCTGGACCCATAGCCAGGGTCTTCATGGAGGACTTGGGCACCCTGTGGGCCAAGGCCAGGGCAAGCCCTGACAGAGCTGATAAGCATTGACCTCCCATCACCTGCCTCCAACACTGACAGCCCTTGGGGAGAGTTTTAGGAGGGTCAGAGGTCAGAAGAGGAGTGGGCTTTGACCCGAGGACAGAGCACCCCACATTCTTGCCTGTTCCGGGTGAGACGGGAAGTCCACGTGGGCTGGATGGATGTAACCATGGACATGGGTTGGGGGGGGGGCGGAATCTGAAGGGCTTATCCCCAATCAGGCAATGGTATTCTTGGTCCTGAGCCTCGGGATGTCTGTGTCCTAGTGGATTGCACAAACTGTGGGGAGGCCCAAGGAATGAATTCCAGGGTCTGAGTCCTGGCTTCTGGCTCTGCCAGTAGCTTTCGGGTCACCTTGAGCAAGTCTCTTCCTCTTTCTGGCCTCACTGTCCTTTGCTTAAAAGTACAAGGATGAGACCAGATAATCCATGGCTCATTCCTGCTGCAAGTATCTCTACATCCAGGAAGTGGAGGAATGATCAGTGGAAGTAGCTGAAGGACCCAGGAGGAAAGCATAGGAGTCAGGAACATGGACATGACCTTCTAATTAGGGTCATGACTCCTAAACCAGGTCAGGGTAGGAGTGCCCTTCTTAGATTTGCTGCCGAGAAAGCAGAAGAAAGTGCCTCTGATAGAACAGTCAGAAACATGGCCCATGCCCTTTGCTAAACCCATCACTTGTCCAGTTACTGAGCACCTACCATCTGCCAGCCTCATTCTTGCCTCTGCACATGAGTTCTGGGAGCCTGCCTGGGAGTTCCCCAAGGGCAGAACCTATGTCTGCACCATCCTGCATTCCCAAAGCTCAGGCCAGGGCCTGGCATAGAGAATGTTTCCTGAACTAAACTTAAGGCTGAGAGTTAGCTCTATGGGCAGCAGGAGGGTGTACTGGGAAGGCTTGTGCTGTGCCGTCATGGACCGATTTTATGCTTTTGGTCTATTCTTGACAGGATTATGGGAGCAAAGAGCCAAGCACATGGCTTGTATATAGGTTTGGACCAGAGCCTTCAGGGGGAGCAAAGGTCCTTGTGGCCAGGAAGAGCAGAAGCAAAGAGAGGCTGGTTGGGGGTGGTGGTGTGGGGTGTCAGTGCCCTGGGCTCCAGCCATCTCCACCTTGAAGAAATTTCCCAGTGAGTGCCAGCCAGGGCTCAGCTTACGTCCATCAGTGCGGCATTGACGTAGTTGCTGGGTTCCCCATCCACCGAGATAAGGAAGGGCAGGCAGCGGTCCAGAGGCAGGACATCCATGCTCCGGTTCTTATCGTGGTTCCGGGGCAGGAGCCCGATGCTGCAGTCCTCGGGCCGGACGCGGGGAGTCACGATGTTGAGGGTCTGTAAGGCGCAAAGACAGATAGGTAGGCATTACTCAGGTGGTAGCCCCAAACAGAGGAGAAAGCAAGGTTCAAAGCCAGCCTACCCCACCCTATCTGCATACTGAAAGTTTGGCCCTCCAGTCCCTCCCCAGGACTTGTTCCTCTCCCGTGTGATGTTCTGCCATCTTCCGTTAGCTGCTCCATGCAGGCTGAGAGCCCCTACCAGGGCTGTGAGACACCCCCATGATGCCAAGTATGTACAGACTGCATGCCCACACACAGAGCAGACACAGGCTGCCAACACCTGCCAACCATTTGAGCTAAGCTGCTCAGCTCTGTGAAGGGTGGGCGAGCCAGGAGGTCAGGGGGTGGGGGTGGGGGTGGGGAATCCCCCATGCATCCCTTGAAGTGCCAAAGAAGGAGGGAAAGGATTTCACCAATGCTCCTCTTAGAGAAAGCTGTTTTCAGAATGGAAGGGTGTCTGGATGAGCTTCCCAGGATAGGTGAGAGACCCCCAGGAAGCAAGCTCTAGGAGTCTGGAAAATTTCAGGGTTGTGTCGTGCAGAGTGAGTCTTACAAGTGTGGGGCCACAGCTGAATTGCCCAGCCAGGAGACCAGATGTTCTGTGCGCCCACGAGGGGGCTGTGGCCTCTGTCTTTCCCTTACTCAGTACTTGGTCTCCCCTTCCAATCAGTAAAGCTTCTGCTTGAGGGAGCACGGGGACACTGGCCTGGCTGGGGTATCTACCCATGGAACCAGGGGCTGGGTACTTGCCCCTCAATTCCTGGAGCTTCCTTGCTTCCCACTACCTGGTTCTCAGCACCTGTTGCCTAGGTAAGACCCTGGCACTGACCTCAGGACAAAGGGCTGGCCTCTTGGCCTACTCAGTGACTCACATCAAGGCCTCCACACCAAGGTGGCCACCATTCTGGCTACCTGGGTTACAAAGTACAGATGTGCTATGTCTGAGATGAGCTCTGGGATGGTGCTTCCCAAAGTTCAATATGCAGATAAGTCACCCAGAGATCTTGTTAAACTCTACATTCTTGTTCAGTAGCTGTGGGTGGGACCCAAGATACCACATTCCTGATGAACTCCTGGGTGAAGCTGATGGTGCTGGTCTCCAGACCCAACTCTGAGTAGTGAGGATCTAGGACAGACACACTCCAATTGCACAGAAATGGTAAGAAAAAACCCGAGTCCCTCCAGGGACGGCAGAGCATGAAACTCACACCTGTGTTTATAAACCTGTCTCCACCCACAACTAGGATTGGACTAGAACAAAGTTAGTTCAAAAACATATGCAGAGTTAAAACAAGCGTTAGCAGTCACCAAGTGACTGGTTAACAGTTGCTCGTGGCTGTGCATTGTATGTGCAAGAATTCATTCTGCAGCTGTCTGGAGCTGCACACTGGAAACACCAGACTCATCAGTTCTCATGAGGAAAACCCCATGAACGTGCTCAGTGCTGCTGAAGTTGGTTGGGTCCCCGAGCCTGGGATTTGCTCATACCTGAAATTCGTCTTTGATTTGGCTGGAGTTGGTCTGGGGGTCCAGCCTGCTGATGTTGTAGTAGAGAGAGCGGAACTCACACACGGGGATGGCGGTATTGCCGCAGAGGCATGCTTCCAGGATGGCATCGTGCACAAACACGTACTGCTCCTGCCCAGCCAAGAAGAGAAGAGACAGGGTGCCGGGTGAGGACAGTGGCCTGGGAATTTGTGGTCCAAACTGAATCCCACGGCTGTGAAGTAGGGGCAGGATTCAGACTGCAGAATCACTGCTTCCTATCTGAAAACCTGAAGGACCACTCTCCATGTTTCTCAGTGACCACCTGAGCAATGGTGAGTTTTGCGTAAGACTGAGCTGTGTAGACATTGAGGAAAGTAAGAAACTTCTGAATGTGCTGCAGTAGGGCTCTTGGTACCTGCCTGTGTCCCCTCAGCTTTCACCTTTACTTTGAAGCCTACATACTGCAAAGCACGTGAGATTCATGCCGAGGGATTTCCTCTAGTCCCAGGAGCACACCTGGGCTGGGTGCAGGGCGAGCCAGCATGGCTGAAGAGCCAATGCTCTGGAAAGGAGCCCTCAAGCAGTGCCAGCTGGAGAGCTGGGGCATAAATACCTAAGTTTCCTTCTCTCTCAGGTAGGAGATTTGGAAGGGAACATTTCCTACGGCCTCAGAGCTCCCAGTAGGCTTGGCCTCCAGTTGTTCACAGGGTTAATTAAACACCTTTACAAAAGACCTTAACGCTTTCATAAAGCTTGGTGTCCTTTCCTTCTCTTTGCTTTCCAACTGGTGAGCCTTGGGATCACCTCTCAAATAAATCACTTGCCCTCAACTCCCTGTCTCAGGGTCTGCTCCTGCGCCCTGTGCCCCTCAGCCATCTCTGTTCTTTGCACCTGCTGTTCTCTTCTCCCTGAACCCCATTCCCCCTTTTCTATGGCCCCTATGCTTCATCCCCTCTGGACAGTCTTCTGCACACCCACCAGGTGGAAGCTGTTGCTGTTGTTGCTCCCAGGCCCTTAACAAACATTGAGTGCTCTCTTGCAGAACTTGGCCCTACATAAAACACTTATACCGATGCATCACGATGATCTATTTGAATGTCTGTCTCCCCCACCAGACAGCAGGGGCCATGTGCCTGATGCCAGCCAGCAAGGCTGTCTTCCGCAAGCATGAACCTGGGAACAGATAAAGCAGCCTCTTGGCTTTACTGCAGCCTCACCAAGAAGTCCAGACACTAGCCTGTGGGAGTTAGCTCAGACCCCACAGCAGGGGCCTATGTTTTTAAGTGCCGGATTCTCTGCAGGGCCGGCAGTGACTGGCCATGCCCAAAGCCAAAACTTCCCTTTGCAAGATTGGTGATGGACATAGCTTCTTATCTGCCTTAGCTGACTGCCTAGGCACCCACAGCCTTCCCTAGAATCAGATGATGGGCTTTTATAATAACCAGCCATGGTTCTGAGGAGTAGGGTAGGCAGAAAAGACTGCCTAACAAGAGAGCATGGTTCAGGGGAAAGTGCTTGAGGCTTGGAGTCACACGGACCCAGCTTCTCAGTTTCTTTCTTTATGAAATGGGCATATCAGTAGGAGCTGCCTGGCAGGCTTGTTGTGAGTAGGAACAATACCCTGAATACAAAGGGTCCATCATGATGCTTGGCACATGGTAGATAGATGCTCAACACTAAAGAGCATAACTCCTCTCATTTCCCACGGGGCTTGGGCTCTTGACCTGAACAGAGGGGGGCTTGAAGGTCTGCTTTCCCCCCGAAGGCAAGGGCTATATGTTATCTCTTTTGGAATCCCTGGAACCCAGCCCAATTATTCAATAATTTTGTTGGTTAAGCCATTCTTGCGGGGACTGAAGCAATGCTTGGCACACAGCAGGCATTCCGCAAATGCCAATCCTTCCCTCTCTCTCTTCTTCCCCCAATGCAAGTAAACCATTCGAAGAATCCTTAGAAGTTCCCATTAAGCCCCTGCTCAGATGCCCTCAGCACTGGGGAACTCCTTACCTTTCCTCATTGGTGGATGTCATTGCACCGAGGGGCCTCAGGGTGGGCAGTGGTGTCCTGGCTTCTACTGTGGTCTCCTCGCAGTCAGCCATGTATCCCCTTCCTCCATTTCTCCCGCCCCTGGGTCTCTTTCTCTAGGATGCCTTCACCCATGGGTGAGTGTTCTACCCTGCTTCTCCTTGGCCAGGGCTGCAGCTGGCTGGCCAGCTCGGTGCCCCAGGACTCACCTCTGTCTGTACCAGGTTGACCCTCTGGGCCCGGAGCTCACGCACACAGTTGAAGATGTCCACTACCCCTTCGTTCTCGGCCATATCGAGCATGGTGTCGATAGCGATGAAGCAGCCGGTCCTCCCAGCCCCAGCGCTGGCAGAGAGGACAGTGTCTGTGTTAGGGACCTTGGGACAGGACCAGCCCTGGGGAGGCCCCCCGCCCCCATTCAGCCCTGTCCCGAGGCATGCTGTAGAGGTCAGACATAAAAGCCTGAATCCCAGCACTGCGGGGAGACTCAGAGCAAGCAAGTGAACTTAGAGTCTCAGCTCTCTTCTGTAAAATGGGAGAGCAATGCTTGCCTTTGGGGCTGTTTTATCAAAACCTGCTTATATTTGTTGTACTCATTAGCAAGCACTTATTTCATGCTTACAAAGTGCCAGAAATTGTTCGAAGTGTGTTACAAATGTTACCTATTAACTCCCTTGTGAGGTTGTTTTCTTACCCCATACAGGTGAGAAAAGCAAGGCGTGGAAGGCTGACCTTACTCAAGGTCACACAGCTGGCATGCAGTGGAGGTGGGACTTTTTATCCCAGCAATCTGGCTCCAGGGCCTGTGTTCTTATACGTTCTTAGTAACAGCACGAAATGCACGCTTCAACAACACGTATGTCTGCCGTTGTCTCATCTGGTGGGTGCAGCCAATCCGTCTGTATCATGCAAGGCATGGTGCCTGGCACACTGGAGATGCCTAATAAACATGTCTTCCCCACCCCCCCGCCCCCCTTCTGTTCCACTTTTTCCCTTCGTCAGCAAACAGGTTGACAGATGGCAGCAAGGATGGAGAGACGAGGGAGCAGAGGAAAGGGGAGAGGGCAGAAACCAGATCCTCTGAGCTGGCTCAAAGGCACAGAGTGAGTCCCAAGTCCCATGTCACAAGCCCGGGGCTTGGCTCCACTTGCACCTGTTTTCCAGAAACATGATCCAGGAGCATCCTTAAACTGGAGCAGGCGATGGCTCCAAGACCCTGGTCTGGTATATATGCTCTGATTCTGATTCATACTCCATTCTGATCACTGGTGTTTCCTTCAGGAAAATCTCAGACCAAGTACAAAATAGCAGAAGAACTCAGCACCACCCCATGGACCACGGCATGGGTCCCAGACCAGCACTGGTTCTGGTCAGGGCACTGAATCAGAGACAAACAGAACATTGACCTTGAATGCATGCACTTTAGGAAGTGAAGGCCAGACCACCAAGGAGGCCCATGTTGGCTGCGTTTTCACATCTTGCTTCCCCTGGGGAAACCAGGGCTGGGGCAGGAAGGACAGCAATGCCGGCTGACCGTAAGTCCAGGCAGGACAGGCCCGAGGGGACTGTCACCCACAATGATCTGGAAAACAAACCCCTGGGAAGCACTCTTTGTTCTTAGTAAAATTGCATGGTTTAAACTGAGTTAAATTTGACTTGTATTTGTACCCTTACACCTCCGGTCCAGATCCCTCAGAAGGGACTCGGTGGGCTGGGCACCAGGGGCTAGGAGGCAGCACGAAGAGGCACTCATCCGTGTTTTCCTGACGTCTCCTCCTCAGCCTGTTTTAGGGGACACAACCAGGATCCACCTTGGATCCCCCACCAGTGAGCAAGCTGCCTGGTGCCTGCGAGCCTCACATGTACAACGTGCCTCCTTGCAGTGTTCTCCTGAGCACCTGAGCTGTATTTATTTCTGCCTCACATAGCAACTGAGCTCATGATGTTTGGGGCCAGACCCCTGGAATCAAATCCTGGCTCAACTACTTATGAGCCGTGTGATGTTGGGTAAATGACTTAACCTCTCTGGGCTTCCATGACCTCAACCATAACACGAGGCTGATAATAATAAATAAGCCCACCATGTAGCATTAATTAATAGCACAGTACATGTGAGTTGCATGACATTATGCTGAAAAAGCACAATGCATGGAAACTGCTTAGCCCTATGCCTGGGTACCTAGCAATTTCCCAATAAATGGTTGCTTGCTACTCACATTCAACAAATATTTATTGAGCACCTTGTATGCACTAGGTGCTGGGATTGGGAGTGGGGCCGATATTAGAAGCAGAGAACGGTGGTATTTTATATGTGCTTATTACATGGCAGGACTACTCTTAGGCACCTCATTATGTTACCCAACACATTTAATCTTCAGAATAGACCCAGGAGTGGGGACCACTGTGCCTGGTGCATAAGGCTGACTTATTATGGGGGTAAGACATAGAGCCATCATGTAAGGAGAGCCTGATGAATGTTTGCCATTGTTTCCCTTCCTCCCTATCCCTGCTCTGGCTGCTCTCTGGGGCACAGGACTGGGTGGGGAGCGAACATTCTCCCGTCCTTGAACTGTCATGTGGTGTAAAGCAGACCATGTATGCAAAATGCCTAGAGAGCCCAGAGGTGATGATGAGTATTCTCTCCTAACCCTCAGCGACTTCATCTGTGAAATGGGCTGTCTAATTCACACCTGCTTGTGGAGGGGAAGGGTAAATGGATGCTGAGTGAGAAGGGGCTGGTTCTCTGATGCTTGCAGTTTGTGGAGACCCTCCTTGGCTTGACTCAGCACCTTGACCGAGGTGGACACCGCCAGGGCAAGGGTAAGATAACTTAACATGCAGCTAAGAACACGCAGTGTCTGAAAAGCGGGGCTGGGCCCAGGGTCACATTGGAAAACGGAGGCACTGGGAGGAAGGAGTGTGCAGGCCAGCTGGCCTTCGGGTCTGGTCCAATTCTTAACGCCCTTGACATGACACTTCATCTCCATTTAGGAGGATTGGAAGATGTGCCAGTCATTCCCAGGGGACTTTCTAGGTCAGAGCTGAAAATATCTCTTCTCCATAATAAGGTGAAGCCTGGCGCTGTCCATTTACTCTCTATTAAGGACCCTGCAGGCCAGCAAATGATTTTTAAAATACAAGAACTGAAGAGAAGCGGGCTTCCACTGAGGTGCCCTGCCGCCACGGCAAGGAGCTGAGGGCGAGCATCTGCGGCCATGGCTGTGAACTCCCGGCTCTGCCGTTTCACCCCTGTGGGCCCCGAGCAAAGTGTCCACCTTCTCAGTACCTCGGTATTTCTCATCTGTAAAATGGGATGGATGATAACGCCCACCCCTCCAGGCCGCGTGAGAAGTTGTGCAAAGTGCACATGGGGCAGAGGCTGTCGGTGCAAGGCCACGTCCCCAGGTGGCTTTACTATTTCAGGGCAACAGTAATGATACCAACTGGTACTGCTACTATTACTTTGTTGTCAATATTGTCGTCGTCATCAGCCCTTGGGGCTGGGGCTGGGCTTGGGGACACAGGGCAGGGCAGTCTGGAAGGCGAAGAATAAAGGCCACTGGAAAAACAGTGTCTCTGTCCCCGAGAGCAAGGCTGCAGAAGCAGAAGCAGCCTTGTTTAGAGCTGGAGGACTTCACTTACCTGCAGTGGACCACTATGGGCCCCGCCTCGGGGGGGTTGAGGAACTTCACTTGGCGCACAAAGCCCAGGAGGCCGGTGGCATAGCAGGGGACGCCGTGGTCAGGCCAGCTGGTGAAGTGGAAGAGGCGGAGTTCCCGGATCTCGTGGTAGCCTTTCTGAGGAGAGA